CATCACACTCCACTGCGCCGCCACTAGTTGTAAAACTCACCAGAACAGTTGCGGTATCAAGTGAGACCTGGAAAATATGTCCTGGTATAATGACTGGAACATGGGAAGAAGAGCGCACACCGATGCCAGTTAGACGAGGCATCAACGAGTCATGTGACCACAACAGAGGCTCGATCGATATTGTCCACGAAATCTAATCACATTGGTCCTTTTGTCTAGTCAGCTGATGCACACGCCAGCAGGCTGATTCGCGCTCACTCAGTAAAACAAAATCGATATCACAGTGTACGGAAAAATTGGTTAAAACGTAGTTCCTACGCTAAGCAAATTAACCCCTCTATGTTCGCGCCCCGTTGATCTTGAAATTGATCGTGAAATTCCATAAATCGTGCTGTGGAAAGAGTTGCAGATTACAACAAGCAACCTGTGAATTTCGGACGTGGTCGAAAAGTCCATATAAAATTGACTCAAGTAATTCAGGTGATATTCAGATTTAGCCGGATTAATTGTCCTTAGGGATGAACCCAAAGTCGTACATTATGTCTCCCGAGATCCCACATTTTAAAATGCACAGGTAATGCTTTCTTTACTTTCTCACAAACTACTTCCAAGTGGCCACCAACCCAATATGTATCTCTCTGTTCACCGCTGTTTGTGTATGTTGCCGCTGCGACTGAGTGCCCCTGTAAAGTGAAGTTAGTCACGTCTGGGATGACAAGTGCATTTCTTAGAACGGTCTTCAGACCGCTACCTACCTGACCATGGTCATTCCAATCAACACGTGTCCCAGGGGGCTCTGCCTATGAGGTAATCCCATTTGGTACATACTACAGGCGTGAAGAAACGAGATATGGTACATACTTGGAACTGTGACGCAGTGAGGTACGCGCTTAGTTACCGGGGTCAAACCGAAATTTCTCCGGAGCTTCGATCGTTTTAATGCCGGAAATTAGATGATCAACTTGACATCCATTTAAATGATGCTTTTTGGTGTCTCTTGCTGCCGACGACTTGTTTTCCAAGTCACCAGGCTCCTCAATTTGGTAAAACCTTCGTTATTCCCCGAATAAATTTAGTGCAACACGTGGCAACCGGATAGCAAGGCCGAGTTTTACTTTTTTCAATTCAAAAGTGTAGTTTCAAACTTCTCATTGGCTAAATTATCCTTGAACTATCTTCAGTTCGCGATAATCAGGAGTAAACCTATTTTTTGCACCGCTAAACCACTATAATTCCACTCCCCATTAGGTTGCTGAAAATTCGTCGACAGCAACCATATGAGTAGTACATTACAAAGATTTACATGTATCGCGATATCTCGATATCGTAACGGACTGCAACATGAGGCGGCCTGGTGCAGCACATTCAGTTGCCTGGGAACATCACAAACGAGAGATTCAGCTGGGTTCCAGGTGAGTCTCTCGCAAAACCAAATTAGTTTGCAAATGAGTGTATTTCACTACTATTCCAAATTCACTGCTCAGTGCAACTAGACTAATAACACGACCAGAGCGTCAACAGATTTTCACAGTAGATTGATATTACAGTAATCGTCCGTTTTGCTGGGGTGCCTAAGTGTCATGCCATCCGGAGAGAGCATGATGGCTTAGATACTGCCAGGTTGCCTAAGCCTACACAGGAGAAGTCGAGATGCAGAGATCAGGTTCGTGCCTTCCGACCAGTAAATTCTAACCACTGGGCCATTGAGTACACATCTTCGAATACATGAACAGTAAATCAGTTTACGTTTCATGTAATCGACGAGCACACCAGATTTAAGCGCAGGGTTCAACTGATGAGAGAGTGGGGATTTCCGCAACTCGACGATTCCAGCAGAAAGTTTGACACTTGAAGATCTTCAGTAATAAGATGCGACCTGGAGCCGCGTCGGTGCGATAAAGCATGTGCTTGAAAAACGATAATGTTGAGTTGAAATTATGAAAAAATTGACCGTAGCCAACCAATTGGTATCCGAATTCATTCATTCGCTCAGCTACTGAAATATCAAAAGTAGCATATGATTAACGTGTTGCGCGTCGTTTCAAAGCCCAAGCCGACTTCGTTCCAATTACGTCCTGGGGTACATGTGAGACGCGTTTCAGCAGACCGTCACATAGTTGATTTCAGAACCATCACCGTCGTCCTTTGAAGTAGGTAGCGGTGGACCAAACAAGATATTAAGCAAGCGTCCAAATCTTCGAAACCGCTTGAGTTCGAATAGCAATGAAATCCGGCTCTATGAAGTTCATCATATTGTCTCTGGTACCACAGTACCTAGTAAATAAAATATGTGCCTTCTGGCTCGGGGGATGTAGCTCAAGTGGTTAGGGCGCGAATTTACCGACAGGAAGGTCCGTGGTCGAACCCGGCCACTGCCTCTCGATTTGTCCTGTCTAGGCTTGGGCAATCTGGCAGTATCCTACCCCTCGTGTGGCATGGCAACCAGGCACTGATTAACGATTTAAGATTAGAGCCGAGTGCCTCCATAAATCAGAAATCGGATCAAAGGCGTATGATACGAAGCTTTCTTGTTTGATTTTGATCTCCAGTAAACCGCTGCCTGATCGCAAGGGCAGTCACAGTGGAGATTGCGAGCTAGTATTTGATGGTAAATACCCCATCTCTCTACAAATTAGGCTTGGGTCACCGGCAAAAAACTCGTTCAGCTGTAGCGCCCTTTCGGTTCCTAACTGCCATGCCACCCACAGGTTGCACGAGGGCTGGGGTACTGCCAGGTCGTCCAAGCCTAGACAGGGGAAGCCGAGAGGCCAGTGTTCGGGTTCGCACCATGGTCAGTAAATTCGCGCACACCGGCAAATGCGATTTCAAAACTCCTAAATCTTTTCCACTTACTGTACCACAGCTTGGAGTTGAGGATAAGATCCGTTTGTTGCATGGATGTTGCCTGGACCTCGTCACACTGCGCGCCACGCACTCCTTCAGTCTGTCTGCACAAGCCCAAGGTATTGTGAACGAAAATTCAAACGGTGAGCGTATCCCCTTCAACGGGAATGTGGCCGATGGACGTGCAGATTATGCTACATCACATGTCCCGGTGATTATCAATGAGAACTATCCAAATCTGTCAACATCTGATGAGAAATTTGCTCATCTGATACGATCTGTGGCGCTCAAGTTTTCTCGTCTTGGTGTCAATCGAACGGAAGTCTCTTTGATGGCTGCCGTACTCCTGATGTCACCAGGTAAGTGTTCTACCCAGAGTTTTATTCAAGTGGAGTGGTTCGAAATCTCTTCTCCTGTTCAGCCAACTAGGATATGAAGTAAGGGCAAATAAACACAACTTCCTAGATTTCGTCGTATCCATTGGTTAATATGGGGATAAACAGTAAAATGAAATGAACGACTAAAAGTGGTCACTAAATCAGAAAACGTGGAGACACGAACGACTGGTCGTCGGCGCACCCCAAGGTCACCCATAGCAGTGGGGAACCTTCCCGAGGAAAGCACAATGGTTGAAATACTACCTAGGGAGGAGCGGCCGAGAAGCAGAGGTTGGGTTCGTACTTCGTACTGTCCGAAATTTCATCACACCGCATCCAAACATACGTAACGGTGAACCTAACAGGTAGCCTGTTACCGCAAAACTGCTGTCGTGTTTCTGCACAAAAAAAACTCGAGTTCTGTTATAAGTCCAGCTTTGGATCACACTCTGATAAACTATTAAAAAATAGTTCAGTTGTAAGACCCTTTTGGTGCCTAGATATCATGCCATGCAAAGGAGGCACGAGGGCTTTGATACCTCCAGGTTATCCAAGCCTAGACTGAGGAGTTCAAAAGGCGGAGGTCGGGTTTGAACCAGGAACTTCGGGTCAGTAAATTCACGCTCTAACCCCTGAGTTATCTCCGATTCTATGTTAGAAGTAAGGGAGTTTTATGGCCTTACAAACGAATAAACGCCAGTAGTCATGTGACTGTTTAGATACACCATCAGATGGTTATACCGAGAATAATGGCTATTATCAAACCCAACTACTTGACAAGCTAGCTGGAGGGTGCGCGGGCCGGAGTGGAACACCTAAAACGG